AGATGTGGTATGCTCCATCATTCACCATTCACCATTCAGCCATCTTGTACTATAGAAATATGTACTTAAATAGCTATCGAAGACAATGGGCTCAATCGGCAAAAAATGATCATGTAGTATTTCTGTCAAGAATTCTCTTTCTTTCGTTTTGTCCGTTACTCGATTCGACACAAAACCATGGAAATCATCATCAGTAGATTCTGCATGAATGCTGTTCTCTTGGTGTTGGAGCGGAGCTCGGAGCAGGATCGACCACGGTTGCTGATTGATGATATTGGTCGGTGTTCCAGAAAAATATCGGTTATCCCTAATTCTAGACCTTACCATTCATCTGTTGCTACTCGTTTGTTTTTCAGCGGAATCAAAACACAGCGACTTTCACCCTCTGCAGCAAGAGCCGCGAGGCAGAGCTTCCAATAGTTAGTAGTCGACATCGACACACTCACAATAATGTACACAGGTTTTATAGAAAAACATCTAGAATAATTGCACATTTCGGAAAATTGTATTTAAATATGTTTAATATATACTAAAACACGTTGAAATTATTGCATTTTGATTAAAATAATTGTATTTATCCTGCCCAGCTGTTCGGTTACCTTGATAGTCGTAAAAGTAGTTCCGTTTACAAAGTGACAATATATAGTAACACCAATCACCTAACTGATATTTTCATTTGGAACACTGCAGTAGTGCATGATATTGTCAATCCTATACCAATAGCAGGCTGGCATGTATGCAAATGAGTATATGTCATGGTTATGGTTGTATTGAGTAATATAAGGTTATTACGAGAATACCTCAAAGTATGCACGAAGACAGTACAGCGGCAGGTCGATGCGACATCATGTCTGAGTATTATTATAAATCTTTTCCTACCAAGGATACATCATGGGAATGCCGAAATCTAAGAAGTTTAAAACAGAATCAGCGAAATTCTGTGTGGAGTCTGGTCAAACCCTGGTGGCAGCCATGTTTGTTTTTAGAGGACGCTTACGCGCGTAATCATTCCATATTGGGAATTCACATTTCCTAATATGGTAGGATGAAAATACCCCGTAAAATACCGCAAAATTACCGCACGTTGTAACTTATGGCGTTAAGGTGACAGATATAAAATATTAAAATGTAGTTTGAGGTATAATTATTGTAACTTTGAAACTAAATGAACAAAGCATACTTTATATAATCAGATTGTATCGTTTTGGACATACAAAATATTCTGTATAATTCAGTCTCAAGTGAAATATTGTGTTTTGCGTGTACACTAGTGGTTACATGTATGCTGGGTTATTTTGTTTATGTGAAAATATTAAATAGTAAACTTTGGTGATACGGATTTTATTTCACCGCATATTTTAAAGCGGGAGGGTCATCACCTTCGCACGCGCGGGAATTGAGTCCCAAGCGACGATAACAACATACGCTAAAAACGCGAAAGCTCATTGGCAGACGCTTGTTTGTAAACAATGACACGCCATCTGACACATGCGCAGGTGACGACTCCCCCGCTTTAAACTCTTTGTGAAATATGAGTTGTGATAATTATTTTGGCGTATAATGTAGTTGTGATTTCACACAACAGCCATGGATGTCAACCACAATTTAATGTAGCCTAGTTTCTGATTTCTGATTTTGGATATCTGTCGTATCCGGCAATTAAGCAACCCTTTAGTGATACACTAATTTCAAGACGACTATGTGAATACGTGAAGAATTTCTAGTTGCTTGCTACCAATATGGTATGAAAATGTCTTTGACCTACCGCGTCGTCAATCAACTTGCAACGAGTCTAGAAATCGATGACGTAATCAAACTGACAATTACACGCATGCCTGAAACCCGCGAATAATCTTTAGAGAGTGTATTTGTTTACTTCCCCGAGTCGTATCTGTTTGCATTTATTATCTATGGTAAATAATAAAAACCATTACTTGAAAGTAATACTAGTGAATCGAAGCCAAAGTAATCAACCTCTATGTCTATCCACAAAGTAATACTACGAATCAAATGAATAGAATTCATAGTACCAACTGAAAGTGTTGTTGTTCGATCTACTGCCAATCACTCCCCAGGAACATCTAATTGTGTCAAACCCGGCACTAAATCTACCCATGCAGCCGGCTGATAATAATCACATGATCTATAAAGTAGAAAGAAAGATTTTTGTTATCCTTTAAAGGCACTCCAAAACATTCTTTTACTCAAATATTTATGATATAATTTCATAACACGCGAAAACTGGTTAATTAATTTATATCATACAAAACTGATTTAGATGGTGATATTGATATTGACAACCCAATTAGAAAGGCACATCAGTCGTTGACATTTTTAGTTCATATTTCACACAGAAAAAAAACACTAGAATCATCTCGACACTGTACTTTTACTTTCACCATGGAAGGTAATATTACCTTTCATGCTTTCACCCTCAGTGACTAATTTCTATCTTTGAGTGACATTTCCATGAACGTTCACGTTCCATGAATTTTCAGAGTGTGTTTTCCTTCTACACTCCTACATTCAACACATATTGAATCAATACTGTAGTTATATCTGACATGGGTACGTTCAATTAGTTGCTGCGAAAATACACATTACTACGCTGATATAGTATGTGCACAGCATTTATGTTCCTGTCAGGTAATGGAAATATAATCGCGGTAATTAATATTCACTAACACAATACAAACATGTTACCGTCTACTCTGAAGAAAAACATTCTTAGAATTCCAACTAATTGATGACCCATGCTTATCTATACGTGACTACTTCTATAGAAAGTGATGTGTAGTATGATTCTCAGGCACATACATGTGATTACACGCAGTCGAACAATGGCAGTATTTAATATTGTCTACAAAAACAAAACTTTCCTTAGAATATACAGATCTACCAACATCTAGACCACTTCTCCGCTGTACGTCTACTTGCGAAAATCAGTGTAATTTGCGTATGCATAGAATCTTAGTACACATTTTTATAACTGTCTACCGAAGTAAAGTAATACAATATAACTGTCCACCGAAGTAAAGTAATACAATGTAACTGTCTACCGAAGTAAAGTAATACAATATAACTGTCTACCGAAGTAAAGTAATACAATATAACTGTCTACCGAAGTAAAGTAATACAATATAACTGTCCACCGAAGTAAAGTAATACAATTTAACTGTCCACCGAAGTAAAGTAATACAATTTAACTGTCTACCGAAGTAAAGTAATACAATATAACTGTCCAAAGAATGGAGTAAACAGGAGTGAGACGTAATTAGGTGCCGAAAAATTGTAATGCATGGCGTGGTTCAACATACATGTTTGAGATTCATAACATTCCATGCTTTAATTGAAACAGCATCTGACCAAAATATTTCTGATTTATATTAGATTGTTATGGAACATAACACAGGATAATTTCAATACCCAGATTTACTTCATTCTTCTCCACAACGACATAGATCTACGCTATGTATCATAATATATATTGTCATACATTTGTTAAGGGAATTAATGTAAGTTGTTGTCAAATGCTCACAATCACTTATTTTGAATTGTAAGTGTTACCTGAGTCACAGTTGTATCTATTTAGTGTGAAACGTACATTTATAAGAATATGGCGATTTAAAGGCTTGTATAAAAGATGTTTAGCTTTAACTTCGGTTGATGAGCTTTAGCTCAGCGTGTTAGCGAACCGAGCAAACTGAGAAGTAATTTACCTCCAATATTGAAGAAACCATTAATATCCTTAGAGAAAAGCGCCACTTAGTGTCCCAGTGTATCTAACATATACAGTACACATGATTGTTGCCAATATGTCGATTAAAACCACTTTGGTGTGCCGTGAACAGCCTTTCAATGTGCTGTGCGTTAGGAACTCGTTCCCCTAGTTCACAATCGATATAACGTTGGCATATCGTGAAACCTAATGATCTAGGTAGTTGAGAGAAAAGGCAGTGATTTGTTTAATTGTGTTCTGGCGCCAGTTGAAAACGAGTCACTGTGACATGTACTTCTCGTTTATAAGGATAGACTGTCGCCATGCGTACACAACAGCACAATATATTAGCATTGCTGTTGCGTCAAGAAGCAAGGATATATTAATTCTGAAGTCATGGACATGATGTCAATGGTTTTTAGATTATAATACCTCTTTAGAAGCGTGACTATTCATAGACTATTCATAGGCAACCAGCAACGAATATGTGCTAAACCATATCAATGAATCCATTTACCTGGGCTGGCAGCACTGACATAATGTGTATGTTAAATGAAAAGAAACTGGTAGTATGGGCACATGTTCTGTAGATTTAGTGAACGACGCTGATGTCAGCGTGAAAATTACGATGACGCAGTTTGTATCAGTGGCCTTTAAACATTGCGTTGCGCATGCGTGATACTGACATCACCATATAAATGGTAGGAGGAGCGATATATTGAGAAATACGGTAGACCGTGATGGCGGATATTCAAACTCATTCGTGTTGTTGTTTGATTTATATTTATTTGGAGGTATGTGACTTCACACATTACAATTAAAGAATGTACAAAATGGGACGTGATTGATACTTACATGCATCTATTGTTTATTTCAGGTGATACCATATAAGGCATCGATCCACCTTTATTTTCATCTGTCAATCCAATGTAAAATTTATATCACCCTGGAGTTGTTTATTTTCTCACTTCGATTCTGGAATGTTGATCGCAGATTGGCTTCTCCTTCGGTTGGCAGAAGCTGTGTAATCATCGTGTAAGCTTAGTGAGCTTGTCAACGCCTGCAATAGTTGGATATTAGTACATCGGAATACCGTCACTCCAAGCAGGTATTACCTACTAGCAGAGTACTAATGGACTAACTCATCTTTAAACGAGGTATAGCTTGTTGATAGACGATTTACTATATACAACGGAAAAGACAATTTGTTAAAACATCGCAGTACCATTAGGAGTTTACAATAAACTAACTCAACGAATAGGTTCGTGTTAACATTATTAATATGAATGATACAATGAATGAAACGACTTCACCAGTACCGACGTCACTGCCATCGAACGGTTCACCTGAAGAAGTCCAGATCGGGCAGATAGTGCTGAAGGTAATCTATGCCACGTTTGGTTCCCTGGGTATTATCGGCAACCTACTTGTTTGTGTGGTGTTCATAAAAATCAAAACCATGCGGAAAACACATACAAACGTATTTATCTTCAACCAGTCCTTGATCGACTTGAGCAGCTCCATTATATTTGTCACGTTGAAATTCGGACCTGAATACGACGTGATTCCAGACAGTGTGTCTGGTGACTTGTACTGTAAAGTATGGAGTTCAGAGTACATACTCTGGGGATTGTTCATTGCCTCCACCTTCAACTTGTCGTTCTTATCGCTTGAAAGGTATCTGGCTATTTGTCATCCCGTACTGCATCGGAACAAGGTAACGTTGACGAAAGTGAAAATCATTATTATAACCACTTGGTTCATTGGTTTCATACGTGAATCGTACTGGCCAACGATGAATTTCAACGAAAACGGCGTGTGTAGTGTAAAAGAATGGCCTAACACCGGTATGCAGATTCTTGTCGGGTGTATTGCTTTCGCCACGGAATATATCCTTCCTCTCGGCATCATGGCATTTTCCTATGGTAACATAATTAAAGAGTTGAGGCGTAGGACGAAGCCAATCGAAGTCCAGCCTGCCACTGTCAGTGGACAACGTCTGGCACCGCCTAACCAGCCCGAAGCACAACAGCAAGAGATGCGATCAAAAAATTCCCAAGAGAATCAAACAACCGGTCAATCTACAGCTTCAACACACAAACCTAAAGAGGATTCTATGGGAAGGGCGCGGAAGAATGTTACAAAAACGATGTTAATCGTGTCTGTCACGTTTATTATATGCTGGTCACCGATGTCCATTTCATTCTTCGTTTACAACCTTGGTGGTCCCCTTGATTACGATGCATTTTACTATTGGATTATGGTTGTCATGGTATTTTTCAACATGTGCATCAACCCGTTTATTTACGCAATTAAATACAAACAATTCAGAGATGGGGTCAGGACAGTGTTTCGCTGCAACAAAAATAAAGTGTGGAATATAGAGGAATCCACGCAGTCGACAACTGCCTAATTATATCTGCATGTACCCGGAGATATGAGCTAGATCACGTGGACAAACAATCGAAAACAAGGACGAATACGTGTGAATGCAATATACTATGACACTAATATTCTTAGTTAAAGCGAATGGCAATTGTACACAAATTTCCATAAAGACTGGTTGCTTTTTTCAATATTAATTTGTGACTCGGGTAATTATAACAATATAACAGTAGCACATTTGCATATTCTACTTGGTATACATACAGATCATTTCTATTGGACTGGTAACTGTCATGATCGTTGAATGTGTCAAACTCATCATTAAACCATTTGCTATTCGATAACTATAGATATTATTTATTAGTACCCACTTTATCTATACAGTTAGCAGTTCTACACTATTACATGAATATATCATAACCCGATATTTAAATTATAAGATTTTGTTGCCAAACCGGTCACTGGTTAGAGTGACAAGATAGGGTTGTCCAAGTATACGAACTCATTAATTATTACACAACTCTCACGAGTGATAAGCATGACCTTTCCGATAACGGGTTTTCCTGTGTAGGAAAACATCAAACACAACAAGAGAGTAGTGAATCTACTTTCAATTTCAATAAGGCGTTAAATTGGACCTTCATAAAGTTACACATTAAGTATTTCTTTCAAGGAAATATATGAATCGTGATTCCTTATTAAATTAGTAACAGGTAACGACTATGTCAGGGAGAGTGTGCGATTGCAGATGCAGTGGTTATACCTCACATGAATAACTGTTTAGTGTGTGGGTAAGCACTATGACAATCTAATATGAAACTAATAACTACAATGTGCCTAGTCAAAACCATTTACGCCAGCAGAAAGTCGATGCATTCCATACCACACGTTCTTTATCATTGGTGTGCAGGTCACGTCCAGTGCATGTAGATATATTGAATATTATACTTTTATTAACCTTTATAAAAAGAATCGACTAGCGACTCATGAAACAGCTGATGGTTCAACAAATCGTATATCAGAAATGATTAAGACCTATAATAATTACAATAGCACGATTTACAATTGTATATTTGTAACGAGAAGTTATCTACGTTTGATGTGCCACTACTTGAGTAGAATTTGATATATATATATATATATATACAGTACCAGTGAATACATGTACATATTAACTGTTCATATAGAGTTATATTTGATATGGTTACTTCACCAATACATCTAATGCATTCAATATCAACATTAATTACATAATTGTTTTCATAATTTTCAAAAAATAGTCAAGACATGTAAGTAATGAAAAACTGTGTTAATTTTTAGCAAAGCAATTCGACCATTTTAACCACTGATCTACAGAAATATACAGCAATGACTACAAAATGTTGCGTAATATTAAAATTGATATAGGTTAAAATTGCTCCTGTTTACCTATCACAGTAAAGTAAAGGACCAGGAAAATATGTTATCCGTTACCAGACACCATTTCTTTCTCTTGCAAACGTCAAATAAAACAATCACAATAAAACGACTGTTAAAGCTATGGAACGGTGACAACTCCTTAGCAATATAAGTATTGACAATTGATAACGTTTACAGTATGTATAAAACATTTACTCCATTCACAATGCTTGCACATTGCCGTGATGAAAACCACACGTAATTACATTCATACACATGGGACAATTATCGAGGTGTATACATGATCTGTGAGATCATTTGAACAGTAGATTTTACTATGACTTAACAGACTTCGTCGTCGTCGTCAGAATATGCCTAAGGCCCAAATTTAAATTCACAAATCGAATAATAGTGATATATGTACAATGAAGATAATTCATCATGTCATATAAGGTGTTCTGTAAGACAAAATTATAATATTCAGTTATCCAACTATCTATTTTTTGGTTTTTAATTTATACCAATTAAATATAAATTCCCAGCATACACGTATCTCAATTTATGTTAATTGTACTATAACATTGGGTGGCAGTTCATCGTCTAAAATATTATTATTATAAATGCGTAGTTTATTATCCTAATCTGGCTGGTAGGATTTTATTGTTAATAGTAAAATTGTATTACTTATGGCAAATGTAACATTACAATAAATCACGGGAAAGTGTATGTTATTGTCACCATGTGCTAGCAGTCATATTATGATTTACATATTTGTCACGCATGGCAGTATACTGCAAACTCGCAGTAATCTGTATTTGTCTTACAAACTTATGACAGTAACTGAAGAGCAATTTGGCATAATTAATCACGTGATGTGACAATGACGTCATAGAATGTGCGTGATTAGATTGTAATTCAACTCATTATCAACCACATCCACTATATATAAGTAATCTGATAACAGATTTATTGTCTAATTGTTTGTCTCATGAATTGTTTATATGTTACAACAGATATGTATCACTGTAATAACTGTATTTTACAATTTTACAAATAACACTATTTACTATCACAATTCCAAATAGTTTGGGGTGAAGTTGCAGAAATATTATTATAAATTCAATACGTTTGTTAATTGTAGTGTTGTTAACAGTGACTACATCACGTAGCCGAATCGTTTATACAGTTAAACCATGGCGATATTCAGCAACTGGGTTAATTGTAAATAATAGTATATTGTGACAAATTGTGAAAAGTGTCTGCTATTTATATAATCTGTAATGTTTATGGTATACTCAATAAAACATATAAAACATAACGATGTTACTTTGTTAATGAAGCAATATTAGTGCGTGGGAGATGTAAATTAGTGCTACTTGTATATGTATACATATGTTAAGATCTCGGCACCATGATTTCTAAATTGACAGTGACATATGCGCCCCATTGGCACCTTGTCATTATTAGTAGTATGCTCACTGTGTAGCATGATAAATATTGTTTACGCCGAAAACAACAATTCCCATGTATGGCGCAGTATCCATGCCAAAATTAACGTCCTTAATATTACATTTTGTAATTTTGATTTCTACATGCAATCATTTGGATTACTACATGCGATTATTTAATTTCACTATTTCAACATGCGATGATTTCGAGTCCTAAATGCGATGATTTCGATTCACTATTTTTACTTTTGTTTCCCAAATGCGATGATTTCGATTC